AGGTCATTGACCTTTGATGACCTCGGTTCACTTTTTCGAGTTTTACATGTTTCTAGGCCAGTTTTTGGAGCTGAATTCGAATTTAGCAACCATATAAACATTAACGAAGTAGTTTTGGTGCCTTCGTAACATGTTACGAAGCTGTCAAAGGCGGTTGCCACCTACTACGAATACCCTTACTGGTTGACCTGACCTGACCTGACCCGACCTGGCCTGAATACATGAAGACATCATCTGTGATCAAAACTAGCATGATATTCGTGATCAGCACCCCGAAAAACCCCATAGTAGCCACACTTTACGACGTTCTAACAGGTCCCGATTTTCCCGCCTGTGGGGTCATTGACCTGACCTGCAAGGTCAACTAATGACCTAGGACCTTAAAATTGGGTATCATCGGCTTCCTCTCGTCACGGGCAACACGCTCGTTTTTTCCGCGAAGCTCTAGCTCGATCAGGGGCGAAACGGCAAGGGGGGTCCAACGGACCCCCCCCCCTTATACGTTCGCGGCTGGAAAAACACCAATACGGGCGAGGGTTAAGTTTGACGTCATCTATCAATTACAAATTTGATTTTTTTGTTTAATATCGATTCTCTACCCGAAATATTTGAAAACCCATCCTATGTGAATTATCAACGGAAGTAAATGTAAATGATCATGAGAGCAGCAATGTTGCAATGTTTGCTGCGAACATAAATTTCCAGAAGCCTTTCTATTAAGCAGCTAACGCTGCTTAATCAGTCATTAAGCAGCTAACGATGAAAAGAAATGAGGACAGAAGCTGTCAGACTCGGGCTGGCCCAGTCCCAAACACCTCTTCTTGGCTCAGTCTTCCCACCTCTGTGTCTCAGCTCGCTCTCAGGCCGCGACAGTCCATCTCTCCTGTCTCCGGTTGTGGGGAAGCGGAGCGACCCTCCGTGTGCCGTGCTGAGACAATGCAGCCGCCGGGCGGACGTCGGGCCATTAGAGTTGGTCTGCGCTGCCGGCTCTCTCGGCCGCCTGATAAGGCCCGGGCAGGGACGGCACGAGCAGCAAACAATGAACAATCGCCCCGCCCCGCCAGTCGTCCCCCCTGGGACAATGCCGCGGCAGGGCCGGCGAGCAGCCATCATACAGAGTGGCCCGATCACAACACCGGCAAAAAACCAACGTCCGCAAGCTGGCCGCATGGCTTAAAGGAAAAGGCGGTACTGTTGTCATGGCTTATGGAAGGGACGGTCTCGGTGACAGGGCTGGTGGAAAAGGCGGAATCCTCGCCTGGCTCGATGGTGTTCGGCTCTGGTGATCGTCATCCTTCAGAAATGGGGGCATGAGAAACCTACATGCATTTGCCTGTGCCTCGGAAGTCGGGAGGCGGGGTACCGAAAGCGTGGAAGGGAATGGTACCTATGGGCTATGTTTTCAGGCATCTTAATTTTGTTCTGACACATATGCGCTAGAAATAAGCAAAATTTCGCATTGCATGGATTGCATAGCGTAGCATTGCACAAAAATAGTTGTTTCGGAAGCATACCCGACCTGCATGCGGTGCGTAATGTGATGTGCCGTCTGCTCCGAGCTGAGTCTGCCCTGAAGTGGTAGGCTGTTCCGCAACACAGGACTGTCCTGCGGGACAGTCTATATGGTGGCCGCTCAGCGTAGTTTTCAGGCATCTTGATCTGCTGGATGTGTCGTGGCCCGGTGGGAACTCAATAGGCGGTCATAAGCATTTTGCACTGTTGGTATAATCCCTTTCAGGCAATCAAGACCATTTTTGCCCTTCGGAAAAACCATTTCGGCCCCTTGGAGTGGGAGGTAGGAGCGGAGGGGAAGATTGGCGGAATGTAGCGATCAGCAGCGGGCGTCCCGCCGCGCCGGGTGGGCTCAGCCCGTCTCGAGACAGACCACCAAAGATTGCCCCAACAGGACCCTTTCGGCAGCCTCCTACACTGAGGAATAGCCGCACCCGCCTGAAACAGGGTCACTGATCAAGGGAGGGATGGGTACTTGCTGAGGACAAAAAAGACCGATGAGTTATCATCTAACGAGGAAAGGATGTTGGCGGTCTTCCCGGCCTGATCCAGGTTTTGGTGGAGCTCGCACTAAGGCCGAGTTCCCCGGATGTGGCTGTCACGGGACACTGGGCACGGTACGGTGGTTACCTGTGGCGCGCGGACGATATAAACCAGCCAGTCGTGACATCTGAGGATCTGGAGGGCTGCCGAGAGCCGAGAGGCGGCTGACAGTGTGCAAAAGTGCGACTTGATGTGTGACTATGAGTAATAGCCTCACCTTACATCACCTTACCTCACCTTACATTACCTCACCTCACCCTACCTTCACTTTACCTCACTTCACCTCACTTCATCTCATTTCACCTCACTTCTATTATCAAACTCACGTTTAACCGTCACCTTTACTTTGACGGGTGCTGTCAGGCCCCCGAGAAACCGAGACCCTCTCAAAAATAGATCCTTCAGTGCTACCCCTGCTAAGCAGACTGGTTTTTGGTTCACCTTTTTCGGATCGATTCAATCATTGATTCATTTGATTTTTGTTTGATTCAATCACCGTTTGATTCCTTCAAAAAATTTGGTGAATCGATTCCTTTTGATTCAGAGAATCAAAAAACAATAAAAGGAATGTTTCACGTTTGATTCAGCCAATTTTTTTTTGAATGATTCTTTTTTGATTCAATTAAAAATAAAATATACAAAATATCAGGGATAGTATTGTATTTGTTGTGTTCTTTTTGTGGTCATGTAATGGCAGTAGTGATTGTTGATAATGAACTATGTTCGTTCACTTCATTTTTTTTAAGTTCATGAATCATTAATATTTTTGATTCAATCAACCCTGATTCCCAATGCGTTTGATTCAATCATGACTTGTGAATCAAACAATCCTGACGGTTAATCAAACCTTTTTGATTCAACAAATTTTGTTTGATTCAATCCAATCGATTCAATCACAGATGAATCAAACACCAGTCCGCTGCTAAGGCACCTGTGAGACGGGTGTAGCCACTAGCCACTGCTAAGGCCCATTTAACAGACACACTCCGAGCTATAAACGCTGCTAAGGCCCCTCTGTGACAGATCCACTCCCTGTTATAACCACTGCTAAGGACCTTGTGTGACAGGCCCCTACCCTGTTATAACCACTCCGCCGAACGTTTGAAGCCCGGCCACGGTATTTGACCCGTCACAACACACGTCCGGCCATGTTTGCACGGTAAATGGTCCGCTATTGTGTGGCCGGCGGGCTGGAGTGGAATTAGTAGCCGTGAATCAGAGAAAGGTCGGCTCCACACGACGGCAGAGCTGTCGCCCTGTTTATTCTTGTGATAGGGTAATGCAGGTCCCTGTCCAGTCCCATCCGTTACTGGTTCCTGTGGCCGGGACTCTGTGGGCTGTATTTAAATGCAACGATCGGTCGCCTGCCAACACTTTATGCTCCATGCCAAACATTATTCAAATACCCTTTTGCACCGTATGTAATGTAAGGTTCGCTGAACCGGAAACATTCCATGCATACAACTATTGGAATCGCCCACGAACGTATTTCTACGCCCAGTGCCGATAATATTGGGTTCCGCGGCGCAATTTTCCTCGGCATTCGCCAATTAATGTCAGAATGTTCATGGAAGTCAGAGCCCAGATTCCTACCGAATTCCGCCATCACACCCATCCGTGCTCTCCAATTATTTCTCTGGTAATTGCTTGAACCTTACTGGCACTATCACACAGGCAGAGAGCAATCCAGACCAAGTATTGATACCGCCTTAAATGATTTCCCTTTTTTGCCACAAGCTAGTAGCTGTCGCAGCGCTGCTGGAAAAAACATCGATAACAAGAACACAATGCTATAACAAACACTTACTACGCTACCCTATTCAGTTTTTGAATATGCGCTAGGGAGGAAGATGATATGTTTCTTCAGGGGTGTTTCTCGATCTTCTGCAGCGTTACAGCCGAGACGATTGTCCTGGTGACGTCCTGGTCCTGGTCACAACAAAAACAAACACGAAAAAAACGAGAGTTCACTCTAAATCAAACTATGTATTCTTACAAGTAAAAATAAGTGACTAGCAAATGCTTATATCTACAGAGCTTTGCACCCTCTCATAATAAATCTTTGGCTCCATGCCCGGCTCGATCCTTTATCGCTGATAATCCGGTCGGATTTTCCTTGTCGGCTCGCCTCGAGCATCGGCTCCGCTCCTCCGTCAACCAGCTGTGACCTTATCTGGGGCCATTAACTGCAGTCTGAACAGGCCGTTATGGTTATTGGTTAGGGCCCGCGTTTAATCCGGTGCACGGCCGACATTGTTTATGGGAGCGGCGGTCGGTCCGTCTCCTCCAGCGGCCGCTGGCCGTCCCGGTATCGACACGGCGCCGCTGGGACGCCCGGCCGGCCGCCGCCGCCCTGTGCTTCAGAGAGCGAGCTGCATTACAGAGTGCAGTCGATTGAGGGCCTCTCTGGAAGCGTCCAGTGGCGCTCAATGCGCTCGGCAACAGGCTAATAAGCGGTCAATGGCCCTAGTGCCGACAAATGATGGCGACGCGTCAGGCGACGCCCTTGGCAACATAGTCACGATACGGCCCTGTTTTACGGCTAACTAGCGCTCTAATGAACTACTTTTTGGCTCGTGTAATCCATTTAGTGTGAGTCGGGCTAGAATGATAAGCGCGATGTGGAGCGACAAACGTCTAGGCAATGGAAAATCACGACCCATCTGTTGGGTGTTGAGCAATCTGACGTTCTGACCTCCAGACAGATGTATTTATAGCTCCGACGTGGAGACGGGACTCATACTCATCCATCCCGCCCAGCGAACCGGCTGCAAATCGTGTCGAATGGCGATGCCTTTCGTCCCCAGCCAATTGGAGTGGTATTGGACTGATCAGTGATCAACGCGCCACCACCCGGGCGGAGCTGTGAGCTGCAGCTCGGAATGTGGCCGCCAGGGGTGACGGTGTCGCTACCATCGCGCTGACCTGGGCGCCCTCTGTTTCAGACGTGGTCACCTGCGGCGCCGCGGCGCGCTGAGGTCGCCGCCTCACCGCCCTGAGCAAAGAATCAAACCGTGAACAGCCACCGTCCGCCGGGAGCATGGAGCGGTCGGCCATGTCCCCGCTGTCGCCCTGCGGCCGGCAGGGCTCCACCGAGAACCTGCTGCCGCCCGAGGACACGCCGCCACCGCCGCGGCAGCGGCCCGTCATCACCACAGAGCCGGCCGATGACGTGCGAGCCGTGCCGCTGCTGACGCTGCCGCCGCTCTCCGGAGAGCCGTCCGGCGGCCAGGAGGGCGCCGCGCGCAGCTTCCCCGACATCGAGCTGCACTGCCGGCGCACCTACCTGTGTCCGCAGACGCTGGCGCGCCGCCGCTGCTCGTGCATCAACATCCACCGGGTGGGCTCGCGCGACTCGGTGTGCTCGGTGGTGGGCGCGCGCGGCGGCGGCCCGGCCGCGCTCGGCGCGCCCTCCACCAGCCGCGACAAGATCGTGCGCCAGCACTCTCAGCCGGAGACGTGCACCTCGTGCCACCACCCCCGCTCAGCGGCCAGCCTGCGCCAGCTGCACTGCCACGACTCGGGCCGTGGCAGTGAGTTCGCCGAGATCGCCGCCGACTCGCTGAGAATCAACGGGCGCCATCCGCCAGTTCCGACACGTGAGTGGCGCTGTGGGACTGGGGATGGCTGGGCACTGCCCGGGGGAAGGAGAGGTGACTGGGAGCTAGTTAGGGGAGGGGACAGATGACGGCTTTGCGCTGACTTGGGAGGGGCAGGGGACGACTGCGCACTAGCTGGGGGGGGGGGGAGTAACCGCTACTCTCGAAAAAAAAAATGCATCGTGTAACGTGCGTGTATTGTATTTGGGCTCTGCTATTTACATTCTGACCCGGGACCCCTGATGGAAATAGTTTATGCACTAGAAAACAATACAACATCGATGGTCGCTATATCAGAAGGCAGCCTGACAAGAACGGTGCCATCGACCGCTGCTTCATCCGCCGGGGAACTCGCGTTATTGAGTTGAGAGTTGACGGTAGTTCGTATGTTCTACAAGACATCCTGTTCCGTAACAAGATTTTGCCACTTTGGCCAATAGTTAGGTCCCGGTAGTTGCACGTCCTGCATTATTGCATAAAATGTTTGAACCGTGCTGGACAGAAGAATGTGAATGGGTTGGTCCTGGTGAGAGGGAGGAAACTGTTTAAACCATTGTATGGTACTATTTTGGCTGGGGATTTGACCTTTAGCTATTCGAAGTTCTTTTATCGGTCAAAGTAGTTGCGTCTATTCTTTCTTCTTTTGAAGCATGTTTGACATTTGCAAACATTGAATTTAGCATTCTGGAGAATTTTTTGATGCGAACCTTGAATTTCTTTGGTAAAGCCATGATCGGAACATATTCAGGTACTCTGCTGGCCGTAGTTGAAACTAAACGTACCACTGACTTCGAAGCAGGTGGCAGCACCATCAATGTTCGGGCTAGTGCTGGAAAAAATCTTGCTACCATCTTTATCAATTATTGTTATTCTCCTCATTCACTATCAGCACCGATTACATAGCTAATGTTTTTTATTACGGCTCCACCTGTCCGTGCTTCTATCCTCAGGACACTGAAATCCTTCTCCTCCACGCCACAACCCCCTTCCGGGCTGGGCAGGCAACTTTATCTCATGCGGGCTGCTCCCTTGGAGCGGCACCGCTGCTCCTGAGGGAGCGCACCCCGTAGCCGGGTGTAGTGAGTGCCTTGGGGCTGGGTGGCCTGTCCTCTGGACGGGCTCAGCCCCGGCGACTCACTAGGGTGCCTGCCCAGACCAATGTCTCCCCCTAATTCCTATCATCCTTCCGGCTCTGCAATGGTCTTGTCGACCGAAAGGGCCTAACCCAACAAAACAAAACAAAACAAAATTACGGCTCTGTGGTTTTGTTTGGAGCGTTTTTTTTTTCGATTGGGTGATCACTGCTCGCTAGCTTCCGCTGCATTCTGCAGCCGGTAATATGACATTGCACTCCTGCTGGCTGGCTCTGTTGGAGCAGATGACGAGCGTAGATGCAGCAATTGGAAGTCAGGAAGGGCTATCTGCACCATCGCTGGCTATAGTCATTATAACATTCAGAAGCAACCAAAGCCAACGCCTTTCCACAGTGGCGCAGCCAGAACTCCATGGAGACGGGGGTGAGAGACGTTCGCGATGGGCCCCCCCCCCCCCAGCAAAGTGGGCCCCCTCAACCAAATGGTGGCCCCTTAACAACAACGAAAGCGGTCGCTGTTTTGCCGAATTTTTGGAAACTCGCAAAACCATTTGAATAATCATTGAATATGAGTTTCTGATTTTAAACTTTGTTAACACTCTGAGTCTGATCTGTGGTCAGCCCGGTCAGGTCAGATCTTTGTCCTTAACATTACCAGCCAAATCGGGGAAAAGGACAAATAGCTCGTGATCTGAAGAGGCACGTCAAAAACAACAGCATATTTACAGAAACACGACCATTTCTGCCCATATTTGATGGACAGCGCAATTCATGACCTTGATCTGCGGTCACGTTTTGAAGTTGAACTTTTTATGTGAAATTATAGGTAGCTCATTCGATGCATGTTGACGAGAAAACGATGACAAAGTAAAATGTAAATGTCTCAGTTTTTCTCACCAAAGTTGTTGCAAAATTCTTAGCAAAATTTTTGTGGTAAAATGTGACTATTTAGATGGATTTGCCCTCTGCTCTGTTGCGAAACCGTTGACAAGAGCCATTGAGGTCAAATAATAAAAGCGAAAGCGTTTTGAAAGGCCTATCGAATGAGTTGTTCGCGAAGCTGTATGTTGTAACTCATCGCGAAGCAGATGAGTTGCTCTTTGGTTCACGAGTTATACGGTCATTTGTGAAAGATATAAAAACAATAATTTTTTCTTCGTAATCTTTTCTTTGTGTTTATCATTTTTATCATTACTTTATCTTCAACGACCTCAGCGATGACCTAATCGAAAAATGACCTCTACGATTCTGAAGCATCCTACAGCTATCCGTTGCTTTTTCTCGTCTTTCTAGCCTTCTTAAATTTTTGTTAGATGATCGGGTTTGGCCGATACGCCCCCCCCCCCATGGCTGATTGCGCGCGTTAGAGAGCTATCAAACCCACTTTCAGCGCGCTATAGCTTTATATGTCCTCGAGTGTCGAAAAAGGCGAAACTTTTCCTTCGATGAACATGACGACGTGGGCTTTGGTCTGAACTGCAACATGACTGAAGTAATTTCTCATGATTTCAACGCTCTTTAGAAAGCCGCCTACCACCGCGCTTGTCGCTACGTGACCCTGGAGTCAGGTTAGAAGTAGAGGTGGAAATGAATATTAGTCATTAGTCAAAAATTAGTCGACTAACGTTAGTCAAGCACTTTTTTAGTCAGTCAAAAGTCAGTCAACCAAAATGTTTGTTAGTCATTAGTCAGTCATTAGTCAATGATTTTGTTGCATATTAGTCGACTAATTTGTCGTGATTCGTGAGGTGACTTAACCATCGCCCTGACAGGGGAGGGGTCGATGCGACCCCCCCCCCCTGAGTTGTTTTTGCGATGCGCGCTGAACTATTAGTCGGATCGTGCTGAAATTTTCAATAGCCTCTGGGGTATCCTTTGCACAACTTTTGCTAGACAAAAAAAATTGGGTCATGTCAGTTCACCGAGCTATGACGTCATAATAAGTACAACCTCCCACCGTTTTGACAAAATCGTACATACCGTAACTGGACGTGATCTCATCGACAAGAACGAAGCTGTTCCGTGTGGTTTATGTCAGAATTTGACTGGACATGATCTTTACATTGTATATTGACCTTTCTAAGGTCAACCAAGATGATCTCGCATGTTCACACGCTGACCTCCGTGATATGAGATGTGTTTAGTGTCCGTAGTGGGGTTTCTTTTTTTAATTTAAAAGTTGCACTACACAGGTCAAGGCACACATGGCACCACCGCGGGACCGGTCTTTGCGGCACTGCTCCAACAGCGAACAGGCAACCAAACAAGTCAGAGTGAGCAAAACAGCGAGGCAAGGTCCGGGTGAAACGTTCAACACAAGATAAGGATAACAACACTGCAAAAAATACAAATTATTTAACAAAGCCCAGAGGTTTACATTTATCAATACAGAACAGTTTTTATATCAACTTTTAACAGCTATCAATGACTATCAACCATCAATGACACCGGCGATGCAGCGAGCGACGCCGGCGGAAGACGCGCCGGCGACTCGGCCAGCCCGGTCACCGGGGCGATCGAGGCGGCGGCGGCGTGACTGGAATCTCTACTATTTTCTACTTTGTTTTGCTCCTTTCACACGTCACATGCAAGACAAAACAGCCGCTAGTCCCTTCCCGCGACCGGCGAGCTCGTGACCTTGGGGATCATCCGGGTGTTTGTGGCATGTTTGTTTTATAAATATGATGTGTATATTTATGTATACTGTATACTATGTATTTATTGTATGCATTTTATGTATGTATTTTTAAGTGTTTTTACGTATTTCTATTCCTCATGCAGATCAGCCTACATCATGCAATGATGCAAACTGATCTCACATGAGATGCAAATTGCATGAAGATACAATTTACATGCCCACAATGCATGCAAATGCATGCATTTGCAGGCAAGAGTGCTGCAAGTGTGCAACTGTGTTATGGATTGACGTACAAAGATTTGTGTAAAAAAATATACGGCAGTTAATGTGCATCGTTTTGTACGACGATACTTTTTAGTCTTCCCCACTTTTTCTCGAATTCTATTTGTTTGTTTATGCGATTAGCTGCTTGTTGTTCTATTTCTACAACAATTTTCAGTTTGTTTATTAGGTGTGTCACCTCTGGTGTGATATTTCGTAACCTTGCTTCATATGACCATTTTTGCTAAAGCCAATATATGTGTCTGTTGTGGATTTGCATCGATTAGGAAGAACCAAGTTTTGCTGTTTATAGGGAGGCGTATTTCGTACGGATCTAAAATTCTGCGTTTGATATCTGCTATAAAGGACTTTACTTTATTACAATGCCAGAACATATGAACCAGTGTT